AGAAAACGATTTCCGGTCGTCTGTTTGCCGGGCATAATGTGGCCGCGCAACCGGCCCGTCCTCAAATAACACAAGACACTGGCAGCTTGGACCAAATTGATCGACAACAATTGTTCATCAGTGGACTGCATCCCACGGTCACTCGGGCTGATTTGCATCAGGTATTCCCCAAAGCCGAGATAGACTATCCGTTTCATTCGGCTGGATTTCCTCTCGGGTGAGTATCATGTGATTATTGTTTTCTCTAAGTGGTCACGTATCAGTTTGAGTTTGTAAAACCATTAGCCGTGCACTTTCGTGCGCCGGTTTTGTTTGCTCTCTTTTGATGAGGAGGTAGAAAAAAGACTGGAAAGTTGAAAGTACAGTCAGAGAAAAAATAGAGAATTCTGGTAGACTAAGATTAGAAAAGATTACGAGGAGATGCACGAGCACCACTGTTTACCGTACTCAGCTCTATTACGTAGTATTTCTAACCATGCACTACAATGATCCCCAGGGAGCCTGACGTGGCCTGTATGATCGAGTCTCCTGGCCAGAGTTTTCATACCCTCATGCTAGATCGTAGTTTGACCACCTTCTATATTTTCCACCCACTACTTGTCTCGGCAGACAGCACTCCGTGGCAATGTATTTCGTGGCCTGTGTAACATATGCCCCAACTAACGTAGCCTATGGAGGTCGACCACTTGCTTCAATGGGCTACTGCGAATGCCTTGAACTCTGCGCCTAGCCTCGACATTACTCGGCCGGTCGCCCCACCAGATTCGTGTAATGCTGCGTATACAGCAGTTTTCGAGTAAGGACAGTCTTTATTTATCCTGTTTTCTTAAGAGTGAAGTCTCTACGAAGTAAAGCTCGGTCTCGGTTTCGGCTATTCGGATAAAGTGATCGTAGTATTGAAACCAACTTCTCGTGTATACCTTTCTAGAAAAGGCAGCGCCAGAGTTTCGAACAGTCGACTGAGTGGAAAGTCGTTTTCAGATCGAAGAAGACAGAGATGCTGGGTGTACGAAAAGAATGTCGGTGTTCCGGAATTGGACGAAGGGTGAATATGTGGTCTATACAACCTTGACCAGGTCTAAAATCAGCCTGATTCTAACGCGTGCACTCTTCACGCGCAGCAGACAGGGAGCAGCAATTGACAGTACGTGACCAGCGCGAAGTCTAGAATCAATATTGATCTAACCAATTCCTCTATGGGTTTCACAAGAGGATCGGTGACTTTTCTTGTAAATAGGCAAAATGCACGACTCAAACCAATCAGTTGGAACCTTTGCGATCTGCCATACCGATCCCAGGAGTTTTGCCCACTCCAAGATCAACACTGAACTTCCATCCTTTAAGGCTGATCGTCGCATATAGGTTGCAGTCGGCTCATACCATCGTATGGTGCAGAAGCTTGATCGGTACGAGAACCGGGTAAAGATAAACTATCGATGTTCGATCACTGAGGTGTGTGCTGCATTGTTTGACGGAGTAACCGGATAAACAGTGCTGATATTAAGCTCACAAGTTTAGGTAATCGTGGTTTCTCACCGTACCTCGACCTTCATAGACTGCGTTGTCTGATTCATTTTCTATACATGTTGGGTTGTAGGAGGCTTCCTTGATGGGGACCTCGATATCATTGTAATCGATTTTTAGTAATGCCAATTATCGTAGACGGTGGTGCGCAATTTCTTCGCAACTTCTATCCACCTGAATTTATATCTTTATTTTAGTACTACTTTCAGCTTTCGAATTATTCTCACCGTTCCTTCATCCCAGCGGGCTGTCAAAAGACCGAAACTGCCGTACGAAGATGCAAGGTTTGCAGTTATAAAAATACAAAAACTCGTGATGCTCATTTTTATTTACCTTGTAACTCTTAAATCCTTTCAAGTAATGGTGTGGGTTGAATGTCACTTTGTTTTCAATTTGCCATCCTCCTGGCATTATTTACACATCCGCCGTTTCGCTGAATAAAATGAACAATCAACAGGCTTGCTTCCGGCTGTCACCCGCGGTTCATATCCATTGTTTTTTATTGGTCCAACACGACAGAAAGCAACAGCCTGATGCCGCATCACGTTTCGGGTGGGACAAACCAATTTAGAGTCATGGAGGCTAACATTATTCAGATATACAGATTTTACAAGATCTGTTGTATTTGAAAGAAAACTCTACCCTGTGTGTGTGTACATACAAACAAACAGTCATACTTAGGTAGTGTGAGCAGCCGATCGTGTCATATTTGTGGCCAATGGGTTAGTTGCCATGCAATGCATACTCTTTTCTTTTTCATATAGTGCCAATTTTGGCCTCGTATCTTCGAAGATTGGATATAAATCTTCTTGGTGGTATCTAACCCTGTCCCCCGAAGTGCAGCTCGGAGAATAAAGGTTTTGATTTGGCACGGAGCATTGTTGCACCAGTTTTCGTCTGTTATTAGCATTCGAAAATTCATGTGATCTTACGGACTGCTCGTAACTGCTACCGCTGTTAGTCATTGTTCAAATCTGTAGGAGATTACACCGAATTCAGTCCAACACGCTTTGGACCACTTGGTATCCAGGTACGGTATGTATTTTGCTCCGTCCAAATGAAAAGTGCTTGTACAGGACTGACAGGAGCCTGTGTCTGTAATCACCTTCTGTGGTGATCAGCTGGAAGCAGTTGAGAGCTTTAAGTACCTCGCGCGCTTGCTCGCAGCTGGTGTTAGTGTTGGGGACGAGATCACATCACGAATAGCGAAAGCTAGAGCAGACTTCACCAACCTGCGACACCTGTGGTGCCGCCATGACATCTGACTGCCCCTTAAAAGAAGGGTGTACGTCACCGCGGTTCGTAGTGTTCGACTTTACGGTTGCGAGACCTGATCTCCGCCTTGAGGATGCTAATCGACTTTCTGTATTCGACCACCGATGTCTCCGAAGCATTTCTCGTTTCTGGTAGGAACATCGAGTGAGCAATGACGAGGTTCGTCGTCATTTGTTGGGTATAGATAGTCACTCTCCAACAGAAATAATCGCTCTAAGCCATCTCCGATGGCTTGGTCACAAATGGCGTA